CATCTCAGTATAACACCTGTTTTTTTAAAAACAAGTATGACACTGTTGGTCCCTATTCAGCTTTCCATCTGTTATAAATCTCAAATCCTCTTCTGAAGAACTGACACCTAAGAGTTTGTTCTTTGTCTTTCAGCTGTGCTAATATTTCTTCCTAACTATCTTTAATTTTACACACTACATTCCACTCTGTTTTTTAAACTGTTTCTCTAACGTCAAGACCACTTTCAATTTTAGCCTTTTCTCCAACACACTCGCCATCTCCTTCAGCTTTGTGCTGTCTACATACTTCCAAGTCCTTGGTGACAAAAACAATAGTTAGAATTGAACCTAGGACAGATTGCAAAGCACCTTTCTATACTTTTTTCTATTTCACAGAAATCACAGAAACATTAAGGTTGGAAGGGACCTCCTGAGATCACCTAGTCCTGTCCCTGTGTTCAAGCAGGGTCAGCTAGAGTAGGTTGCCGAAGAATGCGTCAGTCAAGTTTTGAGTATCTCCACTGATGGAGACTCCACAACCTCTTAGGGTAACCTGGGCCAGGTTTACCAGCATCACGGTAAAAAAGCGTATTCTTGTCTTTAGAGAGAATTTTGTGTGTTTTAATTTGTGCCCGTTGCCTCTTGTCCTGTCAGTGAGCACTACAGCGAAGAGTCTGGCTCCCTTTTTTTCATTCCCTCCCATCAAGTATTTATACACACTGATAAGATTCCCCCTGAGCCTTCTCTCCTCCAGGCTGAAGAGTTGCAGTGCTCTCAGCCTGTCCTCATAGGAAAGATATGCCAGTCCTTCAATCATCTTTGCAGCCCTGTATTGGGGAACCTAGAACTGGACACGGTACTGAGCAGAAAGGAAGGATCACCTCCCTTGACCTGCTGGCAATGTTCTTCCTAACGTAGCCCAGAATGCTGTTGGCTGCCTTTGCCACAGGAGTGCATTGCTGGCTCATGGTCAGCTTGTTGTCCTCCAGGAACCCAAGGTCCTGATCTGCAGAGCTGGTTTCCAGAAAGTTAGCTCCTGGTGTATGATGGTACATGGGGTTATTCCTGTCCAGCTGCAGGACTTCACATTTCCCCTTGCTGAACCTCAAAAGATTCCTCTCTGCTTAATCCTCCAGCCTGTCCGGGTCCCTATGAACGGCAGCACACCCATCTGGTGTACCACCACTCCTCCTAGTTTTGGATCACCTGTGTACTTGCTGAGGGTGCACACTGTCCCATTGTCCAGGTCATTAATGAAAATGTTAAGCAGTACTGGCCCCAGTATTTACCCCTGCAGTACACTGCTAGTGATGTGCCTCCAACTAGACTTTGTGTTGCTGATCACAACCCTCTGGGCCTGGATGTTCAGCTGGTTTTCAATCCACTGTACTGTTCGTTTATATAACCTGTACTTTGTCAGCTCGTCTACGAGGATGTTGTGGGAAACAGCACAAGAAGCCTTACTAAAGTTGAGGTGAACAACATCCACTGCTCTCCTCTTGTCCACCAAGCTAGTGACCTCATTGTAGAAGGCGATCAGGTTGATTAAGCATGATTTGCCCTTCATGAATCCATGCTGACTACTCCCAATCACCATCTTGTCCTTCATGTGTTTGGAAATGCTTTCCAGGAGGATTTTCTCCATCGCCTTCCCAGAGACTGAGGTGAGGCTGACCAGCCTGTAGTTCCTCAGACCTTCCTTCTTTTTGTCCTTGAAGACAGGAGTGATACTTGCTCTCTTCTAGTCTTCAGGAACCTCTCCCAGTCGCTGTGACCTTTCAAAGATAATCAAGAGGGGCCTCACAATGACATCAGCCAGCTCTCTCAGCACTCAGTGCAACCCATCAGGCCCCACGTGACTTAGGTATGTCCAGTTTGTTTAAGTGCTCTAACCTGGTCCTCCTTCATTGAGTGTAAGGCTTCCTTGCTCCAGACTTTCCCTCTGGTCTCAGGCGCCTGGGATTTCTGAAGGATTCCTTTAATTGATAAAGACTGAGGCACAGGAAGCATCGAGTACCTCAGCCTTTTCCATGCCATTTGTCACCAGTTCCCCTGCCCTGTTCAGCAGTGCACTCATGCTCTCCCTAGTCTTCCCTTTGCTTTTCATGTACTTGTAGAATCCTTTCTTGTTGCCTTTCACATCCCTTCCCAGATTCAGCTCCAGGTTGGCCTTGACTTTCCTAACCTCATCCTTGCAAGACTGGACAGCAAACGTATACTTCTCCTGTGTCACCTGCTCCTACTTTCACCGCTTGTACGCTTCCTTTTGCGCCTAACCACTGAGTAACAGCCCTTCGAATGCACGAAAGACCTATGATATCAAGCATTTCCCCCCTCCATCTCTGTGGTAAAAGAAAATTACAGTGGTTGGGTCTGATTTCTCCTTAACAAATCCATATTGCTGTTATCATCTACTCATTAATCTCCAGATGTTTACAAGTAATTTGTCTGATTATTTAGTCCAGAAACTTTTGGGAAACTGAAATGAAGCAGACTAGCCTATACTTCCCCTACTTCCTTTCCTCCCTCCCTTTGTTGGACTTTTAAGAGAGACTGAAATTAGAACAATCATTTCCCACTGTAAAACAGAAACTAGTCAACAGTCTCCCATAACAAAATACCCAGAATCAGAAACAGAGTTGGAAAACAGCAGAGGATAGCATTTGGGCAGAGAGGAAGTCTGAAGTACTTGGAGGCTTGTAACTAGGAATTACAAGTTATTTGTATTACCCGAAATCTTCTGCTTCTTCTTGGGAGAGTCTTTAAGATCTTCGCCTTCCCCTTGCTCAGATTTCCTCTTGCCTTTCAATAGTACTTCTGCTAATGAGTAAGAACAGAAATGCTTCAGTCTCATTATTCAGTCTGGATAACAGCTTTGAGTCTGCTGCTGCCTCAGCTTATCCTCGTATTCAATACTTGAAAAAGAATAGCTTTTGTAAGGCACCTGGACACCAGTGAGCTTGACACAGCCTTCTGACTCAGTAACATTTAGGCACTCCACAGCCTGCAATCCTCTGACACAGAAGATATAGAAGAAACAGTGCCACAGCATGGTCTGGGAAAAGATTACTCCTCAGGAAGAGAGCCAGAAGGTACCAGGTTATGTCATAAAAAGCTCATCTGCACACACACAAAAAGGAGCATAGAGAAACAATGGCAGGTGGGGAAATCCAAATAATATCCTGCCTCCCCTCACTATTTCCAGGCCTATCAAAGGCTTATCTCCATGAACACAGAGAAGTATAGAAGCACAATGGCAGGCAGGGGAACACAAATTATGGACTCAAAGAAACAGACACCTTCCTCCCAGGTCTGTCCCAGGAGACCTACCAGGATGAGTCAATGGGAGCCACTCTCTGGATCACCCTTTGGAAGGGGGAAGAGGGGGAGCAGTGGGAAGGGAGAGTGTGAGGTTAATGCCAAGGGTTATGTGACACATGGGATGCTAGTGAAGAACAATTCAGGATTACACAAGACCGGGATGTTTAGGAGTGGTATCAAAGGAAGGGAAAGGGAGAGAATTAGCTGATCTGGGGAGGATCAAGTGTGAGGAAATAGAGATGTAAGTGGATAAAAAGGGCCACTTGCTTGTAAACAGGTGGTTGGTCAGTATGCCAGTCTGGTCATGCCTGACACCAAATCAGAGGTACCAGGGAAGAGCAGTGTCTGTGAGTGCGACCCTGTCTGTAAGGAGATCTACACCAGCAACTGGAATGGCTCTGCGGGCCTAAGGGGCTAGCACATCCACGTACCAGCAATTGAGGAGACCGGGATCCAAAGGCCAGATACTGAGCAGACTGAGTGTTTAAGTCCAGCTACAGGAGAGATCCACATGTGCACACACAAATGTACACATACATATATATGTACTTCTTTCACATATACTTTTTATATAGGCTTCTTTTCTTTCACTAACACATCTTCATTCTGATCAGCCAGAGAGGGAAACAGGATGGAGGCTGTTGGTCCTGTTTGCGTGAGTGCTGAGCGCGCCTCTTTGTATTGATCTGTGCGGCTGGCTGTATATACATGTTGTATATATGTGTTTATACCTACTGGAATACATGCTTAGTCTCGCTACTGGTTGGACCTGGGGGCGTGGACCTGCAGCAACCTCATTTCTATCAAGCTACCAGATTCAGCTCTCCCCACAACAGGATGGAATACAGATTCTGACTTGGAGATAAGAAGAAAGTGCATTAAAGAAGAGCGAAGTTTTGGCTCTCTGCCACATGAGAAGTTTGGAAAACAGCTCCTAGGCCAGGAAATCTGAATGTTCCTACAACAACATAAGACCCAACCCACTCCGAATCAGAAAATCATAAGTGACAGAAGCGAAAAAAGAAATAAAAACATCCTTAAAAAAATAATAATCTACCAGCCACAAAAGCCGTGTCTAATCCAGAATACTGCTGAATGATCCCCTTTTCTACATCTTTACTGTTGTTTGTTCTATTTTTAAAGCTCTCAAAGCACATTCCTGATATGATTGGCAGAACCCTTATACATATCTCTTCTACAGATAAAACTGAGTTCAGTCACAGAATCATTAATTTTAATAGACAAGTCAATCAAAAGGATCTGTGTAACATCAGAGAATTTTACCTATGTTTCTGCAGTGGAGGAAGTTTATTTCTCCTAATACATAAACAGCATTACCAAGCTTGTAATTTGTGGCTGAACTGCAGCATGTCTTTCAGAAGTCATCTAATCTCTCATAAAAGAACCAGAGAGAAAAGCAGTATTGCATTGAGCCAAAAGTGATGAGTACCTTTTTTTTCTGAAGATTTATTAATGCTGTTTTTTATTCCTCTCATTTCCAACCAGTAAGCAGGCCTGCGAATGGTCCGCTTGCTTCTGGACTCTGCACTTCCGTTCACTCGACTCTTTGGTGAGGCTGAAGAAATGTTGCTGACTGTCTCATCGTAGTTACTGTTCAGTCCTAGGACAGTAGTTTCCACCTCCTCAAATTGCTTAGACCTGGAAAACGTCAACTTGAAATCCTACGTATATGTATGCACACATACACACACAACCACAATAACTCGACAGACAACATCCCTTTCGTCTTCCCAAGTACTCTAAAAATTCATCTCACAGTTAATTGAATCTTCTGAATTTTGTGAACTGAAAAGTGCCAGCAAGATAAAACATCCTAAATGTTATTTTTCAGTACATCTTTTAGAGAATGACATTATGAAGCTACTTGAGAGGAAGAGAAAAAAAAATACTCATCCTACCTCAAACCTTCAACTTAAAAAGCTGGCACAAGTTAATCTCAATTTAAAAATATACATTTATCCTTAAGCAACCAATGTGGAATATAAGAATTCTCCTGCAGCCCATCATTACAAAAGAGACATCTTCCATCCCACAAAGGGCAAGATCTCCTTCAGTATGTATTCCCAGAGTCAGAGCTGACACCACACAATTGAAAGACTTAACGTTAGTAAGAATTTTAACCAGCAAGGCTTTCAGCAATGAAGACAGCCTTATAGTATATCCTACAAATCACACTACATTAAAGACTAATTTAGACTAGCCAGCAGCACTGATTTTTCTTCCTAGAGATCAGAGGGAACTTTGCTTCACTATTCTCAAATATTTCTCACAACCCTGAAATGCCTGGACATTTATACTACTGTACATGACAGCAAAATGATTAGGTGTCAAAGCAGCACAGAGTATCTATTCTCTGGGCAAATACCATTAATGTAAGAGGAAAGAACAGAAAACAGAAACAGTTTTCAACATATCCCATTGCTACCACGATTCACAAACTGAAATAAGTAGATCACTTGAATGATGACTGTGATGGCCATCCCAGCAATACTCTCTGATACCCTGAGCTGTGGAGCTCACATGTTTTAATACATCAATCGAGAAATTACTAAGTGGAGGACACTGATGGTACCAGGTCAGATCAGTATATACCATGTTTAAGGAGGCACTGGGGAAGGGTAGGGAGAGGAATTCTCAAATTACAGCCTTTCAGTTGCAATCACACTCAAAATACATAGATTTTGGAACACCGTTTGGTCTTGAACATAAAATATTTATCTTCACAGTGTTAAAAACCTTTTAAAAACAAGAAATGAAAGCTAATACCCCTTGAAGTGTCAGAAAAGCACTTTTCCTACAAACCAATAAGCAAAGTCAGTTGAGATTCTCATCACACAAACCAAAATCGTTGCAGCTCTTAAAATTCAGAGTATTATGTAAAGACCAGATATGGTTTTCCAATAGGAATCTCAGCTTTTTTCTTGCCCTCAGTCAAACTAGACAAGAAACATTCACATACTTTTTGTCGCCCAGAGACCTCTTGACCTTCTGTTGTCTGTGATGTCCAGGCCTGGTGTCCTAACAAAGTAGAACAATTCACATTAGCAGCATAATTTTTCTTGTTTTTGCATGTTTCACTTTTCAGTTAAACACAGTCACCTGCACTTTGAGGATGTGCATATCATCCTTTGAAAACGAAACCACTGTTTTCTGCAACAAGGAAGCATTCAACCTTTTCAACTCCAGCTGAATTAGAACTGGAATCAAAATACTCTACCCTCTACACTCCTCATATGAAAGCCAATCATTCCCCTTGCACTGGGGCACGATGGAGTGTGCTTTGTCTCCAATTCATTCAGTGGTACACGCTTTCTGCCTAGACTTTATCACATAATGACAAATATTTTAGATCCTAACTTACTAGTTTTTACATAGTACTTATTTTTTCCTTAATGAAATAATTCTTGCCTTTACCATGCCAAGAATGTTGTCTCTAGTCTCTTTTACGCTCTTTTCATTTTTTATCTCAATTATTTGTCATACTCCATCAGCTGCCCAGATGTTCACTTTATCCACATCAGAGAATCCTTCTTCTTATTTAACAAAGATTTTTTTGTCACTTGTTGCTTCTTACGCTCCTATTAAGACACATAATTTAACAGATAGCATTGACATTCCCAAGTCAGTATTAACAACTCATTTGCTGTATGTTGTTCCTGGTGTGTGGACAATCATTTATCACCTTCTTCCAAATACTAATAATCACTCAATGCCGTTCTTCATTGGGAAACCCAGGACAAAAATCTTGGTTATACAGACTAGAAAACTAAAATCATTGCCCAGTAGAAGTATATGAAATACCAAAACTGTAACCTAGGAACAGAGATAGTATTTTGCCACATACAGGAACTGGCTAAGAAACTGGGGGGCGGGGGGTGGGAAGAGAAGAAAGAATATGGATAAATTACCTATCTTCTTTATAGAAAAATGTAATGCACATGATCAACTGGACCATGCTATGAAGTGTTTTAGTTATTAGAAATAAATGCTATGCATTATCTGGGGACAACAGCGAACAGAGATATGACAGAATTTGAAGAAGTCATAAAAATTTGATGGCTTGTCAGGAGCAGATGCTGAGAAACTTCAGGTGCTGTATCAAATCTAGGGAATAGGCAGCTTCAAGGCAAATGAAATTCATCACTAAAAAAAAAAATGTACTGGAAAAAAAATTAACTTTAATCTGTTGTTTATGCTCTTGCCTTCTAATTTATGCATAGGAACAAGCAGTAGTTCACTCTTCCCAGGACCACAGTCAACGAGAGGCACCCTAACCACCAGGTAAGAAATTCAGTAGCGGGCACTGACATCAACTAGATGAATTTTTAAACTGTGACTATGGAGTGTCAGACTCTCCTTGGGCCTCCAGCCCCAGCATCTCCTCTCATGGAAAGGTCAGGGAAGCAGCAGGAGAGAAATTCACAACTGCTTGATCAATGACTTCACAATCATATCTTGTCTTCTTTGGAAGAAAAGTCAACTGAATGTTTGCATTTGTACTACTTTGATATGGTTTACACACATCTAGTAGTGCAAACAGCAGTGTTTGGGGAAACCCCTACATCAGAAGTGTGGAGAAAACTCACTGAGGAGCAGCTAGAAAAAAATTAGGCCTGTGAAGCTATAACAATAAAAATGAACAAACAGGCAGGCATAGTCTGCTGCGATCAGCTGGCCTAATCTACCATTAGAAGAACCTAGATGATTGACAAACATGGCATATGTTTTAAGATTTTATATTTTTTTTAGAACTAAAAAATTTTGCTTAAAAATGAAGATAAGTATGAAGAATTTAGGTCACAGTTAAGGATCTGCAATAAAAGGAGAATACAGATGATCTGTCTAGCCTTCCCTTCTAGGAAGCTGATAGCAGCAATTATGAAGAAAACATCTAGAGAAACTGGTGTTTAAGTTTTGAATGTTTTTTTATTTATACAGCGTACTTCCCACTTAGAAAACAAGAGACCTAAAGTAAACTTCCCTGCACATGTTAGAGAAAGAGAAACAGCGGCCTAGAGTCTGAAGAGATGAAGAAACTTCATTTGCAAGTGGGCCACTTCTGCCCCCGTATGGGCTGTGGGACGTTTCTGTGACCTGGAACACGGCCTGCTGCTGGAGACAGGCTGCTCCGCAACAACGCATCTGGAAAGATGGTGTTTAAGCACAGCACAGAAACTCTCACTGAGCTCAGGAGACTGAGCAGTAGTACCTGCTAGCGAGTCAGTTCTATAGCTACAGAGGAAAGCCGTCAGTGTAAGCACCAAGTGTCCTGCACTGCCGTGACTGTCCCTAACCCCGAGGGAAAACCCCCGGGACCCGGGGCCGGCGTGATGGCTCAGCACCCGTTGGAAAACTCCTTGTTTCAGTCCCCCGTTTCCATTTCTACTGCATACCTCATGGACTACCGTCTCCTGCAACGAAGGCCTTTCGGACAAAACGCGGGACCGGCGCCGGGAGCCGGCAGCGCCCTCCTCCGGATCCCTCCCCGGCCCACAGCCGAGCAGCGCTGGGCCCGCCGCTCCCGCGGGCCGCCCCGGGGCTCCCCACGCTCGGCGTCAGTGGGCGACCAGGCCCCCAAACGGAAAGCAGGCGTTTCCGCCGTCGCTGGCGGCTCTCCAGGTGGCCCGGAGCGGGTCCCGCTCGCCGCCC